TGTTTAAATGGATATAATTTGATTTAAAGAGAGATAATATTTATTTGGATGCCACGTCTATTCTGAAGTTCATGAGGTTCTTTGACATTTTTACAACGTAGCTATGACGATAAAAAGTATGTGGCCTCGGATTTGGTTGCGATCCACTTTAGCCGTATAGTGTCAGTTAGACCTCGTTTTAACGACTTGGTTAAGGCAACAAGGAGACCTTGTTGAGTGCTCCTAGTCTTTTGTCTTTGGTTATAGTAGCCATGATAATATCCAGCATCTGATTATCGACTTGACAGTATTTTATCAGATGATTGCCATCCACTATATAGGAATAGCTTCACATCTTTTCTAAGAAAAATCTTCGGGCTCCTCCAAATACAGAGTTATAGATGTATTGCAAGCGTAATTCAGCTTGCATATAATTGCACAAATTTGAGAATTTTGGATTTTTTCTATCTACTTATTTCATTGTCGTAAAGGCCCGTGAGGAAGGCTTGCGCGTTTTAGCTCGTCAACTACGCGAACGTGAGGCTAGGCGGCGTCTTTGTGCAGAACGAAGTCGCAGTCGAAGTCGCGACTCGGATAGTGGCAGTCCGTTCGAAAGCCCAAGGGCGGGCCACAGCCCTCGACCTACTTCATCTTCACATCTTGGTACAAATCGACGTTATCGGGGTCGATCGCGATCTCGTTCCTCTGCTTCTTCGGAATCCTCGTCTAGATTTCGTTCCCGCGCACATGGATCTGGCTACCACTCGCATGTAAACATTTCTGCGGATCGCCGACCTAGATCTCGTTCTCATTCATCCACTCGGGGTCTTCAATCTAATGATCCCCATCAACAGCACTCTCATTATCGTCAAAATCATCAACATACTAGACTTGGTGGCTCTGATCGAGATGTTCATAGGTATCGAAACAAAGAAATTCAGCGCAAGTGGCCTGGAGAGGATCACCCTAATGGCAGGGGGAATGCCCTTAATATCAACTCCTCTGCGTATCGTCTCAACAAACGACCTGGTGAGGAGGATCGTTCTCGAGCTACTCAGCGCAGTTCTATCCCCGTGAGAAATCGCGATGGGGACGTTTTAAATGTTCATCGAGGCATTAATTCCCGATGGATGCTTTCCTCTCTCGATATTCAATCCCAAAGTAAGCTTATTTTTTACCTTTTAACTCATATTACGCATTAGATATATTCGGTCTCTGATGCATTCTTTTCTATTATATGTTGATTTTTTGAACTTAATGATTCTT